TTCATAAAAGGTAATAATAATAGGAGCTTTTAGACACACACAACACACAAATATTATCCAATTACGCATGACGGAAGTAATAAATGCATTTAAAAGTTAATAGAATTAGTATTTGTTATAGTGGGGTTGCACTTTGAATCACAGCACAGACGTATAAAAGAGGTGGAAACATTCAGAGCTTCATGGCGACCGAGTCTCAACTCAAGGACAAGTTGGAAACTACAGAAACAGCAATCAGCGCTGGGCGCACCAGACATAAATAGCTCAACTGATAGAAGCACATCACACGTAAAATTCAATATTTCAATACAATGCCACTCACCTGAGGCTAGTAATCCAACAGAGGGGCGACTAAATATACTGATAATCACGTCAACAAAACGTAAAGCGACACACTTTGGAGAAAATACAATGCGACGAGAGGCAACAAGAGACACCAAGTCGCATGAGGATTTCAACACTTGTGAGAGACCGAGGAGAGGTTCGGGCAGGCTCGGGACACTTCGGCAATGCTCGGGTGAACACAATCATGGCTGCTTGCCCTGTCTCTGTCTCTGTCAACCTCTCACACACTGGCCGAGCTATTCATCTCACGCAACTGGCGAAGGAAATCGACATCAACGTGTTGCAATTTATTCCGCGCATTATGTAGATTCACTACGATGTATTAACTCTCATCGGAATGTCCATTATTGTGATTTTAAAAAGCGCTACGATTGAACGCATTCATCCACAGACTTGTTAATTTAATTACGTTGTACATCGAATTAAAACAAGCTAAATATAGGTTTTCGAACATTTTATCAACGTCAGTTAATTTGTCCCACGATCAGACCAAAGAATCAAATGGGGCGGTTCCTTCTGGCGTACTCACCGCGAGGTTTCCGGAACTGTTTTTATGAAAGAAGAAATAAATATTCGCAACTGTTGATCGTTGACGACGCGGTCGGTACTAAAAAAAACATACATTATGCGGTTCACACGAGTGACCCAACGCATTTGATTTAACCACTTTTCGGGCTTATAGAAGTTGTCAAATACGTACTGTAGTGAAAACGGGTACCAAGGGTCAACCATTTGATTTAAAAGAGCGAAAGATTCACCAGGATTAAATCCAATATTGCATAATTATCACTCAGCTTTTCCTCAATTACCACTGTATAGTGTGTTGTTGATCAATTAACCAATTATCTTACATGGTATCTCGGCATCATGCTCACAATTAATCTTCAATAAGGCCAATCATAAAATTATCAAACATGATTGCCTAAATCGAAATTGACGTTGGAAGACTTGCATGTGAAATGCTGAAATTGTGTGAAACATTATTATTTGGCTCGGGTCAACTTATACGACCTTAAAACTTCGTCGCCCTCTATGCGCTTTAAGGCAACTACAGTATAGCAAACGTGCTCAGGTATTTAGAGGTCATCAAGAGCTATCAGTGTCCCTAGATAGCAGCTGTATACCGGACCTTGTGAGCCTGACTACACACCAACACCAAGGTCGACTGGTGACGAACACCACATTTATTTAGTCAGGAGAGGAAATTTCTGGAATCTGATCCAACTTGTCTATCCACGATTGAACAAAGAAGTCAGAAGTTTAAGAAAATATGTTAAACAAGAATAATATTGCGACACTGGATACCTTAGCTCATTCCGACAGTTCAATATGGCATTCTCAATCGGTTTCAACTTACAAACAACTATTGTGATGATTTTGGTAGAGAGTTCTTACAGACTGTGTATAGTATAAAAGAAAATGTATATAAATTGCATTTTGGTCAATACACAATCCATAATAACAAAATAACTTACTTGTTTTCTCAGTTGACAATATTTTCGTGAAAGAATGTTTTTGTTATATTTCGTATTTTCACCTGTTTCACAATAACTAGGCCTATCAAATGATGGATTTACAATAAAATGGATAACATTAATTATCTAAGGGAAGAAAAATGAACATGCAGTTCATAATCTGTTACACTTTATCAAACCAAAAACTTGTAAACCCCATTTCAACCACCACCTGCCATACGGATCTGTAAAAAACACCATTATTTATAGTTTTTAAATGAACTAGAATATTACTAATCCTGCCAAAGAGATTAAATCTGAGATCGGATATAACTATAAAGTTATATGAGGTCGTAGTCGTAGTAGGTCAGCTACCGAATAGAATTGGGAGAAAGTAGGCGCTATCTTGGTAGCGACCTCGTAAATCCAAGGTCTTGACATAACTCGACTACAGCTAGGAGTGAGTTACTGTACATACACAAACGTCGAGGTCATGACTTACAAATTGATTGTACAGTACTTGTATACCATGCCTGCACTACGGTATCATAAAAATCGGTACATTACGAAAAAAAACTTGCATCAGGACTTTTAATACCACCATCTGCGCAATCTGGAATGATTTATTATTGTGTGGAGTGACGGAAACGTTGTGTATAATGATAACAGTGTTAATATAAGGTAAAGAGAAAAAAGGTCACTTCGCAAATGAACCGTCGAGGACTGCAGGTGGGGAAAAATCAACCGAGGACATAAAGGCAGGTTATTTGGCTTGGACCGTGAAAGTAGTAAACACTTGTCTAAAGCCGGCTGCGTGGAAATAGCAGCAGTTTGTTGTGGACGACAGACGTTCAGCAGATGCCCAGGGCGGTGTCTGGGTCTGCACAGGAATAGAGATGTTGTACACAGCGCAGCACACGCACATGTGAACAACACATGTAGGTAGGCTTTTATACTTAAAATGCAATCTATTCTCACGGGCGTGATTTGGGCGTTGACCAAACCAACACAACATACAATATTGCTCAGCAATATATAGGAATACTCACGTCACGGGTGTAGTTCGTCCAGTAGTTGTGGTACTGTTTATACTCACGGACATAGTGAGTACATTATAGTTACAGTATATTCTCATGGACGTGATGAGTTTAATAGTAACGATATATGTATGTAATGAAAGGGATATAATGAAGACGGGGATTGAGGAGTGTTTGGTTACAGTATATATACTCACGTGCGTGGTAAAGTCAGAGGGTTAGGATTGTATGATTACAGTATATATACTTACGGGCATGGTGAGGGCAGGGGGTGAGGATTGCATGGTTACAGTATATAGTCATAGGAGGGGTGAGGGCAGGGTTTAAGGATTGCATGATTACAGTATATACTCACAAGAGGGGTTAAGGAAGGGGGGTGAGGTTAGTATGGTTACAGTATATATACTCACAGGCGTGGTGAGGGCAGGGGTGAGGATTGTATGAAAAGTATACACTCATAGGAGGGGTGAGGGCAGGGGGTGAGGATTGTATGATTACAGTATATATACTCACGGGCATGGTGAGGGCTGGGGTGAGGATTGTATGATTAAAGTATATACACATAGGAGGGGTAAGGGCAGGGGGTGAGGATTGTATGATTACAGTATATATACTCACGGGCGTGGTGAGGGCAGGGGTGAGGATTGTATGATTACAGTATATATACTTACGGGCATGGTGAGGGCAGGGGGTGAGGATTGTATAGTTACAGTACTGTATATACTCATAGGAGGGGTGAGGTTTGCATGGTTACATATATATACTCACAGGCGTGGTAGGGCAGGGGTGAGGATTGTATGGTTACAGTATATATAGTCACGGGCGTGGTGAGGGCAGGGGGTGAGGATTGTATAGTTACAGTACTGTATATACTCATAGGAGGGGTGAGGTTTGCATGGTTACATATATATACTCACAGGCGTGGTAGGGCAGGGGTGAGGATTGTATGGTTACAGTATATATAGTCACGGGCGTGGTGAGGATTGTATGGTTACAGTATATATAGTCACGGGCGTGGTGAGGGCAGGGGTGAGGATTGTATGGTTACAGTATACATAGTCACGGGCGTGGTGAGGGCAGGGGTGAGGATTGTATGGTTACAGTATATATAGTCACGGGCGTGGTGAGGGCAGGGGTGAGGATTGTATGGTTACAGTATATATAGTCACGGGCGTGGTGAGGGCAGGGGTGAGGATTGTATGGTTACAGTATATATAGTCACAGGCGTGGTAGGGCAGGGGTGAGGATTGTATGGTTACAGTATATATAGTCACGGGCGTGGTGAGGGCAGGGGTGAGGATTGTATGGTTACAGTATATATAGTCACGGGCGTGGTGAGGGCAGGGGTGAGGATTGTATGGTTACAGTATATATAGTCACGGGCGTGGTGAGGGCAGGGGTGAGGATTGTATGGTTACAGTATATATAGTCACGGGCGTGGTGAGGGCAGGGGTGAGGATTGTATGGTTACAGTATATATAGTCACAGGCGTGGTAGGGCAGGGGTGAGGATTGTATGGTTACAGTATATATAGTCACGGGCGTGGTGAGGGCAGGGGTGAGGATTGTATGATTAAAGTATATACTAATAGGAGGGGTGAGAGCAGGGGGTGAGGATTGTATGATTGCAGTATATATACTCACAGGAGGGGTGAGGGCAGGGGGTGAGGATTGTATGATTGCAGTATACACTCACAGGAGGGGTGAGGGCAGGGGGTGAGGATTGCAAGATTACAGTATATATACTCACGGGCGTGGTGAGGATTGTATGATACAGTATATACACACGGGCATGGTGAGGGCAGGGGGTGAGGATTGTATGGTTACATTATATATATTCACGGGCGTGGTGAGGGCAGGGGTGAGGATTATATGGTTACAGTATATATACTCACGGGCGTGGTGAGGGCAGGGGGTGAGGATTATATGGTTACAGTATATATACTCACGGGCATGGTGAGGGCAGGGGGTGAGGATTGTATGGTTACAGTATATATACTCACGGGCATGGTGAGGGCAGGGGGTGAGGATTGTATGGTTACATTATATATACTCACGGGCGTGGTGAGGGCAGGGGGTGAGGATTATATGGTTACAGTATATATACTCACGGTCGTGGTGAGGGCAGGGGGTGAGGATTATATGGTTACAGTATATATACTCACGGGCGTGGTGAGGGCAGGGGGCGGGGCGGGTGTATTGCTGGACCGTGACCGTCGTGGCGTGATGCCCACGTCCTCTCCCCGCATTATGGACTCTACCACTGCAACACAATGGAATAAAATAAAATATTGAAGTTACTTTTGTTGCACTTAAATCAAAGTATCTTAAACTTTACAGCGTTACCTTTCTTTACCTCTGATCTAGCTATAGTCTTATCTATGGTAGGATAACTATTAGGGAAAGAACCATTCAATTCATCTTAAATTTAAAAGCGTGATTACCATATTTGTTTGTGGGGTTTTCATAGTATTTTACAATTTAAGGCAAGACGAAGTAACTATCAAAACTCATAGGGAAAGTTTGAATAAGTATTTTAACATTGGAAGTTTTATAAACTAATTTTAGTAGGAGGAAGGCAAAGATATTGCTATACAGTATGCAAGGGCATGTTTAAACAAGGCAAGATTGAGGTGCATAACAATAATGAAAAAGTATTCGCGTTGCACAAGTTTCAGAATAGCTTCCGCGATGTTTTGTACGAAGGCACAAAGGAACTGTGTGACCTATTTCGCCACAGTGAACGCGATAATAAAACCGCTCTCTATCTCTGAGGAAAACCATTTCCACCCCCCACCCTACCACCCGACACACAAAACCCTTCACACAAAACCTACTTCGCCGCCCTTCGCCCTTTAGTACTCTCTGGCTCTACACGCCTCTCCTCGCCCTCAACTTCCCTCTCCCATTCCTCCTTGTGCGACTTTGTTCGACTCAGTTGAGTTGAGTTAATTACATCAATGTGTCTGAAAGCTGCACCGCTGTATCGTCGCTATGAACACAGTCATATACTACGTCTATGCAACAAAATAGAACAAGAATTATATTGCGTTAATTACCTCACAGCCATCGATCTAATTTGTTTTTCAATGAATTCCATTGGAATGAAAATGTAAGTCTATTATAAGATTTGTTGTAAATAAAAATTAGGTATTAACACCACATATGTATATAACAACTGTGTGGCTGAACCGAACACTGGTCTTATGGGACGCCTATGAAGCCAAGGGTGTGATTGTTACTCTTTTATAGTAACCCCCTCTCCTAAGAAATATTGCGCCACATGAAATCGCGCGCAGTAAGATCCCCACAGTACCCTTTATACCTCATAGAGGGAGGCTAAAAGGGTACTTTCCTGTACCCGGGTACAACAGTTACAGGTACTCTAAAGTACCAGTTACAAATACCCGTTACAAAAGTACCCGGTTACAGAAGTACTCTTGTCCAGTGTAGGTAGGTAGAGTATCTGTATCTACTAGATGAAATCGGTACAGATAAAGAGTTAACTGGAGTACCTCTTTACCTCTTTTTGTGTCTGTTATGTTTATTCAAAATGTGTAAAGTGGTTGTATGAAAATGCTTACCACTTTGACCTGTATATTAAAAACAATTATCGCACAAGATATAAACCCAACGGTAAATTTACTTTATTGCAGTAACCTAAATTGAGTAAAATATCGAAATGAAAAAAGTAGGCCTATATTCAGGAATTAATTTCCTAACATTATTTATACCTGGCGACAGTTAGTTGTGGTTAGGCCTAAATTAAAAAACGTAGTTCCTAAAAGTGCCCCCACAGCTAACAAGAGCGCTGCTGCTGTGTTATCTCAGAAATAAATTGTTCAAAGTTACTTACGGGTACTGAGTACTGACTGGCTACCATAACCTGTACACTGTACACACTTTTCCCAACTCCGTAGATAGATATTAGAAGTACCCGGATACTTTTGTAACGGGTATTTAAGATTTTGAGTAACCGTTACTCTCAAACTCAAGAAGTAACTCAAGAAGTTCTCGTTCAAGAAGTTCCTCACAAACCTAATGATTATTGGGATTTTACTGAGTACCCATAAGCAATTATTAGAGTTTGATCAAGGATATGTAGTTTAAGGTTCTCATAAACCTAATAATGTTTAATGACATTTTACTGAGTGTATGCGCACACTCATAAGCAATGACTCTAACGACTTCGTCCATACTAGTTGTATTAATGCAGTGCTATACAATGTGTTTTGTGGGTATGGAGGTATTTTTATACCTGTTTACGAAATTTTTAAGGACGATTCTTAATGACTTGTACTTATTTTAATACCAGGTTTTTTTAAAACATAACTCAAAGTGTTTTAGCTAAAGTTGTTTGCTATATTGTGGTGATGCAATACAAGCTTAGGTACGGAGATTATGTAGTTATGTTGAAGTGTCACAGCTGAACCAATACACCTGCAGCAGATGCGGGCAAGGTGCACTGACGTACATGTACACGCTCATACTCACGGCACAAGTCTGCTTACTTCTGTAAATCGATCGATTTTTGAGTGGTTGACCTAAATTATAGTAAGTAATCGGGTGATGGTAAACCATTTTTTTTAAACTTGACTGGGAAGTTTTGTAAACTCATTGCTAACTTTCAAAAATTTGATTATATTTAAAATACATGGAACTATATATTATATTCAGGAACAGTAACTTACTGATTTAGTCAATTCAGACTCCTTCGCAACAGTGTACATAATCTGAAGCCAATGTTACTAAACTTAAAATACAAAGTACGTTTGGAGGAGTCATTCTATACAAAATGGTCGAATATTATCTGCTCAACAAGCAACGTAATCCACAAAGCACAACCAAACTCCTTGAAGGAGCGAACATTACATGTCCAGTGCGGCTTATCCTCCCTCCCCATTCCCAACCAACCAGACTAGACTGATTGCTTTCATCTCTCCTAATTTTCCCTTCCACTTCCACCGTCCGCGCTTTGCCGCTCTGCTCTCAACTGTTTACTCAACTCTACGTTACGGCTGCACTCGTTCTGATACGTATCACCATCGCAAACGAAGACACGTTAGCTCGATAACAAAATAACTGGCCTAACGAAAATGTGTTTAATTAAGTATTATTAATGGTTTAGTTCAGTAAATATGAAAAACTAAGACACCAGGGGATCACGTCCATGCACTCGTCATAATAGACGGAGCTGGTGACTGTAGTCTGTCGCTCTACCATGGATCTAGTTCTGATAGTGCAGGTATATGACCTTGAGCCCACAGTCAGCTCGTCAAGATAGACGGAGCTGCTGACTGTAGTCTGTAGCTCTACCATGGATCTAGTTCTGATAGTGCAGGTATATGACCTTGAGCCCACAGTCAGCTCGTCAAGATAGACGGAGCTGCTGACTGTAGTCTGTCGCTCTACCATGGATCTAGTTCTGATAGTGCAGGTATATGACCTTGAGCCCACAGTCAGCTCGTCAAGATAGACGGAGCTGCTGACTGTAGTCTGTAGCTCTACCATGGATCTAGTTCTGATAGTGCAGGTATATGACCTTGAGCCCACAGTCAGCTCGTCAAGATAGACGGAGCTGCTGACTGTAGTCTGTCGCTCTACCATGGATCTAGTTCTGATAGTGCAGGTATATGACCTTGAGCCCACAGTCAGCTCGTCAAGATAGACGGAGCTGCTGACTGTAGTCTGTCGCTCTACCATGGATCTAGTTCTGATAGTGCAGGTATATGACCTTGAGCCCACAGTCAGCTCGTCAAGATAGACGGAGCTGCTGACTGTAGTCTGTCGCTCTACCATGGATCTAGTTCTGATAGTGCAGGTATATGACCTTGAGCCCACAGTCAGCTCGTCAAGATAGACGGAGCTGCTGACTGTAGTCTGTAGCTCTACCATGGATCTAGTTCTGATAGTGCAGGTATATGACCTTGAGCCCACAGTCAGCTCGTCAAGATAGACGGAGCTGCTGACTGTAGTCTGTATAGCTCTACCATGGATCTAGTTCTGATAGTGCAGGTATATGACCTTGAGCCCACAGTCAGCTCGTCAAGATAGACGGAGCTGCTGACTGTAGTCTGTAGCTCTACCATGGATCTAGTTCTGATAGTGCAGGTATATGTCCTTGAGCACCTCGTCTGCTCGTCAAGATAGACAGAGCTGGTGACTGTAATGTTTTCTGTGCTGTAACCTGCAGCCCAGCCATGGCTCTAGTTCTGGCATCACAGTGGACTGTAGATAACCTAAGCTAGTCCCTGAGGACGTGCAGGTATATGACATTGAGCCCCTCGTCTGCTCATCAAGAAGATAGACAGAGCTGGTCTATGTTACAGTAGTAGTCCTGGAGCTGGTGACTGTAGCCTCTAGCCCAGCTACGGCACAGCGCGATGCAGTAAGCGAGTGAAAGTTTACGGTAAATTAATGGAGTTTCTCTTTAGAAAACGTGACATCATTACGATCTATAGCCTTCCGCCACTTGACAAAACAACAACTACTACCAATGAGTACTGCTGTTTACAAGATTTGCTTGAAAACAGAATACTACATACTCGTTATAATCTAAGGAAATCGTCATTATTTTGAAAGTCGAAAAGAAGTGCATCATAATAAAGTAGGAAAAATGAATTTGACGAATCTTGATTGATATTAGTAGGCTACAAATGAGTAATAAGGCTTTAAACTTGATAATAGTACACAACATTTATACAAAGCTACAACACTACAACTTGAAATATATAAAAAACAAGTCTTGAATCTTATATTATACAGAGGATCATGCCATTAGACAAAGTACAATCAATTAGATATTCCTCAAGTACCCTGCAGTAAAAGACAGAGAGAAAAAAGAAAGAGTATGCAATAATATCTATTGACAATGTACGGATTATGTTACTACTGTATTTTAACCTGCAAAGATATAAAACACACTTACACAAAGAAACTACACTAGAAGAAAAAGTTACTGAAAATATATTAATACATTGCAGCATATAGAGCCTAGGGATATTCTGATGTACAATAAGAATGTTAGAAGCAAAGTAGAAAATTACTAGAAATAAGACAATAAACACTCTTTAGTCCAGTCTGGCTCGTGGATCACGGTTGTGGTTGTGGCTGCGAACAAAAATAATTTCGCCACTCGAGACTGAGATGCGTCACGAAGCGTTAAAGGTCAAACAATAAAGAGGCGATTATGTGGCCTTGATGGCGGGTTTGGTCACGGCGCCACCGCTACAACAATCACGCTCTCTGTCGAACGACAGGTGC